GCATACACGAAGCGATTTCAACGCCTCGCGATTCTCCCAACAGACAACTGTCACGAGTTCGTTGCATGCCAATCATTTTGCATTTCGTTTGCGACATTCGCCATTAGACGAATCGGAAAACTGCCACAACCGAAATTTCAAGTTGATCGGCATGCAATGGACTCGTAACAGTTGTCTTGTTAGGAGGATCGCGAAGCGATGAAACCGCGTGATGTATGCCTGGCCCTAATACAGTACATTTCAGCTGACAAGATGATTTTGAGATTCAAAGGATAAAGCAGGTACTAGGTTGGTAAGAAAGTTAAAGCAGGTATTAGGTTGGTAAGAAAGTTCTCGGACATTGCATTTACACAATGATTTTGCTCCGATGCAAGCACCAAATAGGGCATGCCGTACATCATTGGATAGAGAAAAGCAAACACTACAAGAAAGTACTAACCACAACCATGACTAATGAATCCTGTGAAAATAAAGGCGAAAATTCGAAGACATAGGATTTCGAAAATAAAGGCGGAATATTCGAAGCCATAGGATTTCGACGAGCTCAGAACTCCACCTTCCGTAAACACTGTAACACTCACAAATATTGCAAATTATAGTAGACATGAACTCACATGAATTGACACTTGGTCGCTCTAGCTTGCCACGCGGGACTTTGAGAACGTGCGCGAGTCGGTTCGAGTGTTACCTCAAACTTGGGTAATTAAACCTTTATTGAGACTAACAAATAACAAATAATGCGCAAAGGGGCTAAACTAAATCTTACAACTATTCTAAGTGCAATTACATGATAACTGACGTTACTGTGACTACCTACTGAAGGTGTAGTGCGGAGAACCTATCGTGCAATGAGTGTGTAGAGAAAAGGCTAAACAAATAAGAAAGAAAAAAAGGACAGTGAGCCATTTCTTACAGCTTATATACAGCAAACACATAAACATATACATCAAATACATAAACATAATACAAAGGATGTCTGTGAAGCAAAGAGATAAAGCCTTGTTCTCATAACAACTATCACACGCATTAGCTACCTGTGATTCTATGATTCTGTAATTCTGTGGTTCGCGTTGATTCTCCGCAATCCTATGAAGATACTGACTCATGAGTCAGTATATCACATACATATATGCAAAGTCTGTATGGAATTTGAGCTTAATCAATGAGATAATCGAAAAGTGACAAACTCCGCCCCTATTGACCCTAAGCTCCTCCCACCTGCACAGGTATAAGCCGCGTATATATGAGAGTACAACTACAAATTTTCTCGTTCGTAGATGCATTACAACCCGAGAAATAACAATTTTAGCGTGAAAATGTCCGGAAACTTTCTTATTAGGTTGTCCGGAATTTAATGCCCGTATTGAATTTCAACCGCAATAAGTCATACACTTTTCACTTCTAAATAGGTTGCAAAGTACCATTCGATAGAGCAAAGCAAGCTCTACAAGATGGCAATCTTGCTTTTGCAAAAGCTTTCATCCACCTCGAGTTTCGAGCCAAAACTAAAAAGACTCAGCAGCCCGAAAAATCAAAAAAAAATCGTAACTCAGTTCGTGAAAATCCTACAAAAATTCTTACTTGCTCACGTAAACACTATCCACATAAAACATCTATATACGCCTTTGCCGTATTTTTTTCTCTGTTAGAAACCAAGAAAACGGAAATTTCCATGCATTTGCTAAAGTGATGCTGTGCCTTCCCCACATAGGTAGCTGTATACCACATGCATGTAGAAGTACAGACTCAAATTTTCAGCTCTCTACAAGCTTTAGTTCTCGAGAAATACCGAATATAGCTTTCCCTAGTTAGGTGGTCGGAGCTAAAATTCAAATTTCTCGAGAACTAAAGCTTGTAGAGGGCTGAGAATTTACGCTTAGACTTCTACAAGCCTGTAGTATACAAGTACCTATGTGAGGACGGCAGAACACCACTTTGGCAAATGCATGAAAATTTCCGTTTTCTTGATTTCTAACGGAGGAAAAAATACGGCAAAAGCGTACATAGATGTTTTATGTAGATAGTGTTTACATGAGCAAGTAAGAATTTTTGTAGGATTTATATGAGCTGAGTTACGATTTTTTTGTTTTTTCAGGCTGATGAGTCTTTTTAGTTTTTGGCTCGAAACTCGAGGTGGATGAAAGCTTTTGCAAAATCAGGATGACCATCTTGTAGAGCTCGCTTTGCTCTATCGAATGGTACTTTTTAACCTATTTAGAAGTGAAAAGTGTATGACTTATTGCGGTTGAAATTCAAAACGGGCATTAATTTCCGGACAACCTAATACCTACCTAATATATTATTAGGTTGTCAAGAAAATAATGTCCGTTTTTATTTGCTTGCTTTAACAAAGCAACCAGACTTAACCCAACAAAGGGTAAGGGGTACTGTTCGATAGAGCAAAGCAAGCTCTACAAGATGGCACTCATGTCTTTGCGCCACGCTCGATCCACGGAGAGTTCGAACTCAAAATCTAAAGATTTCCAAATGCCCAAAAAATCGAAAAAGATCAGATCTTCGTCCAAATAATTTCTACGGACCTCCCACTCGCTCACATCAATACTATCGATATCTGATATCCATACGTACGATTGCCGTATTTTTCCCTTGACTAGAAACTGAGAAAACAAAAATTTCCCTGATTTTCTAAAAGCAATGCTGAGCCGTTTTTGCATATGTAGTTCTATAGTACAAGCCTATATAAGTTTAACTGTAGATTTTCAGCCCATTCCGAGCGATAGTTTTCGAGAAATATCAAATTTGGATTTTTTCTTCTTAGTTTCAGTGCTAAAATCGACATTTCTCGAAAAGTACCGCTCGAAATAGGCTGAAAACCTACAGTTATGCTTACCTAGGCTTGTAGTATAGAACTACATATGCAAAAACGGCTCAGCATTGCTTTGAGAAAATCAGGGAAATTTTCGTTTTCTCAGTTTCTAGTCGAGGAAAAAATACGGCAACCACACATATGGATATCAGATATTGATAGTATTGATGTGAGCGAGTGGGAGGTCCGTAGAAATTATTTGGACGAAGATCTGATTTTTTTCGATTTTTTGGGCATTTGAAAATCTTTAGATTTTGAGTTCGAACTCTCGATGGATCGAGCATGGCGCAAAGACTTGAGTGCCATCTTGTAGAGCTTGCTTTGCTCTATCGAACAGTACCCCTTACTCTTTGTTGGGTTGAGTCTGGTTGCTTTGTCAAAGCAAGCAAATAAAAACGGACATTATTTTCTTGACAACCTAATAGGTTGTCCCGAAAGTTCTGTCCATTTTTTCAACCTCTCATAAAAACATGTGGAACGAAAATAGAGAAGAGCTTTGAGCACTACCTGACTCATCTTTTCCTCCTTTTTCTAACTGTTGTGATCCCATGCCGATTACTCTTTTGTTCACTGTGATAAAAGCCGAAAATTCGAACCCATGGTTTTTTTTTACTATGTCCAAGTCTGGCAATTTTTCACAATTTTCATTTTCGATTTTCGGAAAAGCTCCGGTAACAGTTAGATAGAGCAAACCAAGGGCAATATAATGCCATTTTACGGCAACTATACCTAGCCTTGAAAGTTCTTTAGGATTATTTTTCTGATGCTGCCAAATTCCATTTTTGGTGATGCCAAAAGCCAGAGATCATGAAACGGCGCACAACTAAGGTGTTATTCGATGCAGCTTCTCCTCCTCTTTCTAGTGAGTGTATTTCTCTCCGATTTGTGGGGCCTTCAGCGATAAAATTTTCGTAATTCTTGAATTTGACTCCGCCCCAGCCTGTACATGTGAAATGTGCAATCTTATATTTCGAAGCGGTAAACGCTCAGTTGCTTAGTAAATATAGTGAATAATCGTAATCGACTTTTGAAAGCCTCAAAATCCGATGTTTTTTGGTGTTCGAGGCGTTTCTGCATTTTGGAACTTCGCAAAAGTGAAGGCTTTTGGAAAAATTATCCTAAAAAATATTGAGAAGCCAGCTGAATGCGCCAAAAAACTGCATTACATTGCCCGTTGTTTACTCTATCTGATCGCTATCAAAGCTTTTCCGAAAGTCATAAATAAAGATTGTGAAAAATTGCCAAACTTGGACATAGTAAAAACCATGGGTTCGGAATTTCGGCGTTTATCTCAGTGAACAAAAAGGTAATCGGCATACTTGCATGACAGTTAGAAAGAGGAGGGAAAGATGCGTCGGGTAGTACTTAGAGCGTTTTCCTATCTTCGTTCCACGTGTTTTTATGAGAGGTTGAAAAAACGGACAAAACTTTCGGGACAGCCTAATATTTTCTAAACTTGCATTACATAATAACTGGCGAAAACAAGTGCTTGAAAACCGTGAAGCCCGTCTTGTATCCCTTCGGCACCGAAAGATATACGCACCGGTATTTATGCTGCAGCCTGCATGATATCGAGTGGAAATGGCAACGATCGGCATGTCGCAATGTGTGGAGAATATCAAGGTGTGAAGAATGTTTGGGGCAAATCAACGATTCTCTTTTCCTTGCATAGCATTTAATACGCAAGGAGCAACTCAGTGAATAGCCGAAGACACCCTAATAGTTGCAATTACATCTGGTAGTTTTGTAACTTTGAAAAATTTGAATTTCCATTATTTAGTGTCGGTGCTCGTGCATGGCGCAGTAATGATACAGGGGACGCAGCAGTGTAGGCTGACGTTGAAGTTAAACTCTTCTGAACCATCTAGCCTCCCTCTCAGCCCACAAAAGAAAACAGCACATCTCCTGCAAATAACGTGCTCTTGATCATAACTACAATTTCAACTATTCCGTTAACCATAAATTGTATTGCCATATGATGAATGCTTGAGACGGACTTCTTCTATATATCTGGAAAGCTGTAAAAGCATGCACTGTACTCCGGGATAGCTTTTCATACGAGAGCGTCTTCGCTCCCCCTCCTCTACAGAACCTAATGTTTGTTTGCTCGAGTATTAGATTCCAACTAGGTTGTTATCGGCGATTCTCGGTAAGCAGTTCTTAATCATTTGCAAATCACCACATCAACCGGTCATGTTTCGATGGACAGTATTCTTTTTCATCCAGCTGGTATCAATTCGCGCTACTGAAAAATACCGTATATGGGAAACAATCAAAAGACTTCCTCCAGGCGTGAGTTTTGTCATTACAATCATTGAACCTCCAAAAGCAGAATAGAGAGCCACAACCGGTGTAATACAAGGTAGCATCCTCGCATCATTTCCTTACATAATTTGCCATGTACAGGCACCTCCCATTCTTGCACGGTTATCTACGTTATTCTTGAACCAGCGCGATAAAGTGATGGCATAACTGCTTACAATCCAGATCGCACCCTGATTGAATTCGGCCCTTTTCCGCTCAATCGGAATCAGTCTGAATGCGATCATCATCATGGGCCTGGTCTGACATGCAGAGCTGTGCATTTATTCATCTATGAACAACATCAATGGTCTCAATAAAAAGGCCAGTTGCTTGTGCACCCTCAAAAGTGCAGCAAAAATTGACAACACAGAACGGATTTCACAGTCATTGCACCCTTTGGCTGCGTTCATACTGATTCCCATGTTCTGGAACTGTTCCCGCACAGTTCTCGCACTGTGCTGAAACTGTGCGGGAACTGTGCGGGAACTGTGCGGGAACAGTTCCAGAACTGTGCTGCATGCGCTGCAGCCGCCCCGCACCGTTTTGAACGGCGGGAGTTGGAGAATTTTGACCGTTCTCAACGGTTTTTCTTCCAGATTTCGCTCTTTTTGGCCTTAATCCTCCACCCCGCTTCCCTTTTCGATCAGCAGCACTGCGAACTCGAAGCGGGGTTGAAGAATGAGCGCTTTTCTGCGGCGTGTATTCGGAAAGATGGGCTATCGTGCGATTGTTCATTCTGTCTTCTTGTTTTTTGCTCAAAACTAATACTTCATTTGTTCCAGGAAGCGGTTGCCCAGTTTCCATAGCCATCTGCCACGAATTAGGGAGTAGGAGAAATCCGGAAATTGCATGAGTTGGGACTTGTCTCTTGTTTTTCATGATTTTGGGCCTTCTTAGCCTTGTTCGTTTTTCCATGTCGTTGCTTCTCCGTTCTTTCTTCTACCCCGCTTCTCCTAGTGATGAGAAAAGCTGTGAATTTGAAGCGGGGTTGAGGATTGAACGCTGTTCTGCTCCATGTATCCGGGAATATGGGCCTTCGTGCGCTCGTCCATTCTCTCATCGCTATTTTTGTTCAGACCTATTCACGTGTACTAACAAGTCGCTGCGTAGTCTCGCATCGTATTAAAATTGAAATAGACAAGTCTCTAGAACACATGAAGTAGGTCTGAACAAAAATAGCGATGAGAGAATGGACGAGCGCACGAAGGCCCATATTCCCGGATACATGGAGCAGAACAGCGTTCAATCCTTAACCCCGCTTCAAATTCACAGCTTTTCTCATCACTAGGAGAATCGGCGTAGAAGAAAGAACGGAGAAGCAACGACATGGAAAAACGAACAAGGCTAAAACGCCCAAAATCATGAAAAACAAGAGACAAGTCCCAACTCATGCAATTTCAGGATTTCTCCTACTCCCTAATTTGTGGCAGATGGCTATAGAAACTGGGCAGCCGCTTCCTGGAACAAATGAAGTATTAGTTTTGAGCAAAAAACAAGAAGACAGAATGAACAATCGCACGATAGCCCATCTTTCCGAATACACGGCGCAGAAAAGCGCTCATTCTTCAACCCCGCTTCGAGTTCGCAGTGCTGCTGATCAAAAAGGGAAGCGGGGTGGAGGATTAAGGCCAAAAAGAGCGAAATCTGGAAGAAAAACCGTTGAGAACGGTCAAAATTCTCCAACTCCCGCCGTCGTGCGGGCGGCTGCAGCGCATGCAGCACAGTTCTGGAACTGTTCCCGCACAGTTCCCGCACAGTTTCAGCACAGTGCGAGAACTGTGCGGGAACAGTTCCAGAACATGGGAATCAGTATGAACGCAGCCTTTGCTACGTACCCCATGGCGCGCCCAACAGCGTATTCGTGGCGGGACTACCGCCGTTTCTGTTTACGGGAGACGGTGAAGAGGCGTGATTTCTCCGGCTGTTACAACTTAATGCGAGTATTCAAAAAGCACCAGATAAATTGCATTGGCTTACTATCTGTCAGAGGTTAGGTGCATGTTCATTGACAAGAATCAAACTATTTCTCCTTTCAATGAAGAGCATGACAGAAAATAAGTAAGCAGTCAGATTTTCAAACTTTGGAGCTTTTTCATGTGAACTCTTCTTTGAACCTGGGCATTTTCGTTTTGATCATTGTGTAGGATTTTCTTATGCCGAGACCAAGTTAATTGGTGGAACTTAATTGACTCAACGTTTCGAACAATTCGTCTTCGTCAGGAGTCTGAAAAGGATCGTAGGTATTCGTAAATTCAGTACACCGCCAAACGTCTCGTCAAACGCTGCCCGTTAGACCTTCCCTGGTGCAATGTACTGAAAAGCAAACGAGAGTGCCAACCTCAGTCCACCATAAGACCAGTAGCCCGCACAACAGTGGCGGACGCAACTGATGTTATACTCAGTGCGTCAAGTTATATATATTATGTGCAGATGTAAGCTTGCATAATGATAGCAGGGGGCAAGAGATCTCTTGTAATGGCAATACATTCATTTTAACTATTCATAGCAGGATTCTTGATGGATATCCAAGCTGATATATATAGGTAGAGAGAATAACATGACTTATAATAACGGGCTAAGGGTGTTTACGTGTTTGTGTGTGTGTGTCTGTGTGAGAGTGTGTCTGTTACGAAATTCGTAGAGCAGGTTCCAGCCAAGCATGCTAGCAGCTTAAAAGTCCAGTATGCAAAAGCTTGAGCGGATCCGTTCAGTGTATCCTTTGAAAATCACACTCAGACGGATTCACTTTTCTTTTTAGCCGCAAAAGTAGTTCAGTATGCAAACTTTTTGCTAAGTTACGATTATGTTCGGCATATAAATCCGCAATATTTTCCCCGGCAACTCAAAAAACTACGAAAAGTTCAATTGCATGCGAAAACGGCGCCAAAACGTGGCAGGCGCTCACTTCTTCGAATTCCAGAGGTTCTACTAGACGAAATTGAAAGATTTTTGCTCAAAGACGTAACTTGCATTATCAGTTTTTATAATGGCAACTGTTGAGTTTTCAAAAGTTTAGTATTCATTCTGAATAAGTATTCGTTCTCCATTCGAAAGAACCCTTTCATATGAAATTACCGGTTACTTATGACAGTGCATTTGAAATGAAAAGCTTTCTCCATTTCATTCGTGATGTTCGGTGAGTTTATTGCTAATTTGACACAGGTGGAAAGCAGGACTTCCAACGCGCTGGCCACACGTGTTAGACCTTTGGACAAGGGGAGGCAATTTGATTTTACAGCGCATAAATTAGTCTGTAAGACACCAGCGTTTACAAGCACATGCATAGGCTCTGCACAGATTGTGAGTCATATGCATCGTAATTATTGAAATTTCGTGAGTAGTATATAACTTTGATTGATTATCATCAAGTTGGACACTGCGTTTGTTGTTCTTACACAGGCCATACCACACTGAAAAGTACTTAAACATTAGATAGAATGTTAGTGAACGTTTTGGCCGGACATATGAAATCAACTTTTTCCTTTGAAAGAGCTAACGTACAAAGCGATATTGTTTGGATTGCACCAAGTATATACAAGGTGCATCTAAGCATAAGCTTGAATTAGAAATGTGGTACTGTCGTGGGTGCAATGTCTCATTTCGATTGAATTAGTCGAAGAGGTAGGTTTCGTGCATTTGCTCTACGCACAGTCATTCTTAATCCGTGTAGCCAAGGCATCCTACCGTGAAACCGTGCTGATCTAAGTTTGAGAAGTTAAGGAAAAGAACGAGGAGATGCACTTAGTCAGCACAGGATATATCTGCCTCCGTAAACGCAACGAATGTTGCAACGCGAAAGCGCATCGTCCTAAGGCTGCGTTCATACTGATCTGGAAGTTCGGGAACAGTTCCAGCACAACGGCTCAGTTCAAACGCTGTGCTGGAACTGTTTCCGAACTTGGAAATCAGTGTAAACGCGGCCTAAGACGGGTTGAAAATGCACTGTATATTGCTCCACTCATGCAGAGTTCATCTGAGACGTTTTGTTTTTGGATGACTATACTTTGCAGGTTTTACCGGTTTAGCTCTGTTGCCGTGTTGTTGAGCATCACAGTCAATATCCGTGCATTTCTCTTGAGTCATTGCAAAATTGCACTAAGCGGTAAACTAGCGGCTAGCGATAGCAGCCGTTGTAATAGTGCACCGATAGCTCCTGTAAAGCTGACACAATGGGGGCACTAAAAAGTCTTTAAGATTATACTACTACAAGCTGAAGTATATTTATTTTTTGGGTAACCTTCACACGCAATCTATATTCAAAGATAAGCATGCGCAAAAAAGTTGCTAGAAACGCAAGCTGTATTGTAGATTGGTAATGAGGAACTATCAGCTGTCATCAAATCTAGCGACAAGTCATTATAAGAGAAAATTGCGTTTGTTTCCGAGATGAAAGACCCCAAGCACAATACGTGTTAATAACCGCTTCTCTTTAGCTGCAGTCGAAACAGAAGCAAAACGGCTTGGGCTTTGTCACATTCACATTTGAAGCGGTCAAATATCTTAGGCGTGTGGACAGGGATTTTGGGTGATAACATTGACAACACTTGAAGGACGAGTACTTAAGTGTTTAGTAACATACAGATTGTTCTTCTTCTTAGGTTCCTTCCCTGCCTAATAGACAGTCTACTGCAAAATTTTTTGAGTTATAAGATTAGTGCCAGAAAATGTGGTAAAATGCATGACTCATCTTCAAAGACCTTATAACAACGGGCGAAGGGTTGTTTACGTGTTGTGTGTGTGTGTGTGTGTGTGTGTGTGTGTGTGTGTGTGTGTGTGTGTGTGTGTGTGTGTGTGTGTGTGTGTGTGTGTGTGTGTGTGTGTGTTACGAAATTCGTAGAGCGTGTTCCAGCCAGCGTTCTAAGTTTTGCAAATTTTGCATAGCGCATGCTCCTTCATGAAAGTCCAAGATGCAAAAGCACGAGCAGATTCGTTGAGTGGATCCATTAGAAATTGCGCTCAAACGGATCCACCTGGCTTCTGTCAAGCAA